GTGGTACCAGTTTCTCGGGTTCATCGTCTCTGCTCGCGGTCTGTCGGAAATCACTTTCTTGTGATTTACTACCCTTGCTGAGAGGGTTTGATATTTGGACAAACCATCGCATCGCCACTATTCTATAATGTTTATTTCAATAGCGAGTTATAAGCTTTCGAAGGCAGGTGGTGCGGTAAGTCCTTAAGACACTTGGATACATCTAGCAGGGCTAATACGCCTAGCAGAATAGAATTCGCCGCTCCTGAGCAAGCGCTGTGTCGCCCCTCTCCCAGGAAGATACCCTTATAGCGCCCTGTGAAACTGCGCATACCGACCCCGACGCCCACAGCGCCCGCCCGCCTGCAAGTGTCCGTCTGATGTTGATGCTCGTGTCGCTTTATTGGCGAAGTAAAATTTGAAGGGGTTGATATGAAGCGGCTGCTATGCTATGATACATAATAGTGCAACCCTATCTAGCATAGCGATTATTGGCACGATGCCAACGGGGAACTCGTCCGAAATTGCTTCCTGAGTCGTGTAACAGGGGCTTTTTTGTAGGTTCTTTTACAGTTTCACTTCGTTTTTTTTTGCCTTTTTCCCCTCTATACAAACATCTACTGGCATTTTAGACCGCGTACCAAATTATAGTGTTTGTGCCTTTAAGCACTGAAAACGGATCAGAACGATAAGTAACCGCCCATTTCAAATCAGGTAAAATTCTCAAGACTTTCACAATCGAATGAAGTTTAGTGTTCCAGGATTAACATTTATGCTTGTTTCTCTTTTGAGGCGCATTCTTGGGAAAGCTCGAGTTTATTCTTTGTTCAGTGAAATGACTTGGTGACATTTAACAAACATGTGTTGTTACGTGACGGAACCATGTAGGAATGCACGACTCGTCGATCCCATATTGAAGCTGTCGTTTGAATAGAGTTTCAGCATATGCTACCTTTTGTTATGAGAACTCTGCTCTGTTTTTGTTTCCCTGTTTTCTCAGCTCGCTTGAAAACAGAACGCGTCCTAATGTGTAGTGAGTGGAGTTTTTCTTCCATGAGCGCATCCCTGTTCCAAATGTTTCGCTGCCGCGATGACACACATTGTCTAATGATTTCCTTCTCTTTATGATCTGAAAGGATGAGTGGCCTTCAGTCGGAAAATGTGAACTCAGAAGAGGCAAAATACAATGCTCCTGCTCACTAAATGCTGTGATTTGCATTGAGACATGCTGTCTGGGCCTGATATCGTGCGGCTAGCAGAGCACATCCATCCATTGGCGCCCACAAAAGTCAGCCACCCGCACTTTGAGCGCATCGCGCAGTACCAGTGGGTCTTCCTCGAAGCGTATTCGGTGCTATATGCAACTTCAGGGGGTGGTTTGTTCTGCTACAGCCGTTTCTCTTTTTTCTTTTTTTTTTTTTTTTTTTTTTTTCTTTTTTTTTTTTTTTTCTTTTGTTCTGCTACAGCCGTTTCTCCTCTTTCTTAGCACTTTATAATATGCCTGTCTGTCTGTCTGTGGTTTCTTTACTTGACCTCTTCAGTCCTGGAACTCGCGGTAAAAATGTTGCGTTCGCATCTTTCGTGAGCTCATTATTATACACCCATTGCACCAACTTCCTCTCTGCTGTCCCCTTGATATCAACTTCTGGATTGAGTGAGAGGGCAGTTTAGCACTGATTTGTCTGCATTATAGAGGTTTCAGTCACACCAGTGATCAGTTAATTAATTTCTTTTCTTTTTAGAACTTTGTGCAATACTAATGAACTTTGGTCTGTGCACAGTAGCGGCGCCGCGTACACCAAAAAAGTCGCTTTCAGGGCTGCAGTGGAGCCACTGTCGTAATTGGAACGGTCATTGTTGAGGCTCGTACGTGCCCAACACCAACACTTTCCAGCATATTCCATCTGCAACTGAACATGAAGTCTGATGCCCTTTCTTGGCTCTGCAAGAAAAGAATAGTAATATGGTCATATGCGCGGCGTAGATGCGTGCGCGCTTTCACAGCATAATTTGAAAGTTCTGTTCGAGAAAGAGTTTTTTTTTAATTTTTTCGTAGATGGGTCAGTGAGAGGGAAGTGTACCATCGAAATCATAGGCGTTGGTTCAGCAGTGTAATGGATCAGTTTTACTCCATGGCTATTCCCGATCAGTTGTTACGGTAGTAGGTACCCCAATCATGAACCAGTAACCCATAACTAACTCCCCAGTAGAGAAAGAAGCAAAAAACCTTGGGGACACCCTGAACAGAGACCTCCTGAGGAGTGGGGTCGGCGTCTTGGACGAGTTCATTACGAGGACAAGCCCAATCAGCAGAATTCTACGTGCAACCAATTCCCAATAAGAGCACATGAAATCGTCCTACGACGCTCCAGGCAACGCTATATACACCCATGATTCTGCATGTAAGTCGTTGCCTTGCAGAGTAAAAGTAATCAGGGTTGCAATGGCTGTAGTAATGATGCGTTTCTAGTCCCTTTATCTCGCCATTTCGACTGGTTAATTGGTCATTCTTTGCGAATGCAGACTGCGGTGCTAGATGCACGGAAGCATTCCGCGGGCCACTTGATCTCAGAAACTGTCTTTAAGAGATGAGCTCTCATGAAGACTTCTCGGCAAAAATTGGGACTATTCTCAGTAACGTTAAAAAGCGTTGAGCTACTATTAGGATTCCGTACCGGTAACGCAAGTGAATCAGAGCAGTTTTTTTATGAGGCGGAGAACCAACTGTTCATAGGATGTTGTTTTTAGCTGATTTTTGTAGAGGCAGCTGTCAACATGTTGAGTAGAAGATTCATGGAACTTCCTGGTCCGTAATTTCTCGATTATCAAACTCTGTAAAAGTTTGCATAATTTTCTGCTCTTTGACTTCTATAATATAGCCTTGGTAGTGAATTCTGGGTAGACGTAGGAATCCTGATCGAAATTTCTTCTTTGTTAAGAAGTGCCACACTTGTCTTTGTAAGTCTTTGTTGGTCGCGGGAGACGGTCTTTAGGACCGCACGGCGTCGCGTTCGCGGCCATCTGCAAACACTTGCAATGGAGCGCACGCTGGCGATAAACTCATTGCGTTATTGAGTTAGACTGTGTTCGCTTCGTGCTCTACACTGTGGTAGGAGCTGGATTGTCATAGCCGTTATTTTTTTGCATAACTAGAGCAATCTGGACCAAAGAAATCTTCACAGATTCGCTCGCGAGTTAATTTAGCTTCCATGCTAATCCCTCATTAACTGTCGTGCTTTCTGGGAGCATACTTTCAGAGACTGTACTTATTGTCGTTTCGTTGAGGGCTCCTGTTGAGAAAATTGCAGCGAGATGGCACTGTTGCGATGAAACCATCACGGGCGCGCGCGGGTAATTGCGATTATCTCGCGCGATGCCATGTGGTCCTGCCGTCACATACCTGTTGGCAACGTGTCCCGCTTCAGTCAGTCACGTTTTCTATCCCTACTGGGCTAAATAAATGAGCAGAAATACAACTTTGAGATACACACCGGCTGCTTCCAGTAACCCACTGTATAGCCTTGTCGCATTCGTGTCATTAGCGAAGGGAACTAGAATGCTTATCGCGTTCTCAACGGCAAAAGCTCCATCCTCTGAGCTTCGAACGAATGCAAAGGTTTGGCAGGTTCTGACAGTCGTGACAGCGCTATGATGACGTTTTGAGCGAGGGGTCAGGCTTGTCCACGTGTTCATTTCTTTGGCCTTCTATTCCTTTATTTTCCTGTGGTCCTCTGTTCTTTCCAGACCTTTGTAAACTCTGAAAATGCTTTCATTATCATTGCGCTAACAAGTGCTAAATTATGTCCTTCATGATTTTAGTCTTATTTTTTCCAGTTGCGAAAGATCGCGGCGTTGAAGTGACTCCGTTTACGGACCATCAACTTTCGTGGTCTGCTTGCTCGCCGCTCTGTTCAGGTGAGTTATTATGTTCTTCTTATTGATTGGGAGACTGCGAGTTGTTTGTTTTGCGAGTGATCCATTGTCAGCAATCTTCTGTTTATGATACAGTCCCTTTACGAAGCACATAGGTGGTACATGGTGAACTGTTCATCAGGTTAATTGCTTTCGCAAGAGAACGGGGAGTTCTTCGATAGTTTTGCACATTGCTTATGTTCGGCAGCAACAGGTGGGGTGCATAGCAGGGGGTCGCGCTTCTCCGGTGATATCAACGACACAATTGATCAGAGGTGTTCGTTGAACGTGAGGTACGGTAGAGACATGAAAACATCGGGATCACATGTGTTTGCATTGAAATGAAGGATAATGAAAGCGATGACGCTTGAACCGATTTCCGCGCCAGTCATGCCTAGCGTGGCGCGATAGCGATCTTTACTTCCTTCCAATATGGCTTCTCTGCCACTTTTGAATGCTTCATTCATAGATATTTTTGTCGCAGTTGTAAACACCGATCATTAGTCGATCTGTTAGGCCGCGTTCATAGCTTGCGACCATGAAGAAATGCAGAAATGAAGAAATGCGGAATCTGCGGAAATGACGAAAAGCATTGTATACATATCGATTTGAAGAAATGCGGAAACTGCAGAAGTGCGGAAAGTGCAGAAATGACGAAAAGCATTACATACGTATCGATTTGAAGAAATGCAGAAATGCCGAAACTGCAGAAGTGCGGAATCTGCAGAAATGCCGAAATGAAGAAATGCAGAAATGCTGCAGAAGTGCGGAATCTGCAGAAATGACGAAAAGCAACCGATACGTAGCGATTTTCCGAACTTACGTACCGATTTTCCGCACTTTCTGCATTTCTGCAGATTCCGCATTTCTTCACTTTCGGCATTTCTGCATTTCTTCAAGATCGATACGTATGTAATGCTTTTCGTCATTTCTGCACTTTCCGCACTTCTGCAGTTTCGGCATTTCTGCATTTCTTCAAATCGATACGTATCTATTGCTTTTCGTCATTTCAGCAGATTCCGCACTTCCGCAGTTTCCGCCCAACTGGGTCACAATTACGCGGCTGCTTTTATTTTATTCATTTTTGTACGTGTTACTGTTATTTTCAAGAGTAAGTGGTAAGAAAGCAGAGATGAGGCACTCCTTCGGCTGACATGTAAAAATCAGTGCAAATTAAGAGTCCTCAAACAAGAATATGTAGAAACGAGCATATAAAGGGTTTGCTGTCTTTTTTGTGAGAACAGTCGTAAGGCGAATCTAATTAGACTGAGTTGTAATGGAATTTTGCAAGTTTTAGTTCTTTACATTTTCTCATGAACTTTCAATAACAGTCAGTGCAAAAAAAGTAGCTGGGCGCTGTTCCGGAGCATGATACTTTTGTTTGTTTTAGTCTCGTCATTCGAGACACTGGATTAACTGAGCAGTTATTCGTTTGAGATAACTCCTTCATTACAGAAAAAGTATCTACTTGGCGAGCGATCAGCTCTGAGTCTGCAAGTCCACCTAGTCCTCGTTTTATCGTCACTCCTGTAGACGCGGAAGGGTAAGAATTGTTCGTTCTTTTCTTAACCCCATTTCGTATGCGATTTCCTTTCAGTACAAGTGAGCGTGATTCTCCCACAGATCCAATTCGAGATTCTCTCGGCTCTATTCCTGCAGCGTCTGCCTCTCACAGGTAAGATAAGTGAGATAGGCATTTTTACAACGTTAGAGGACAAATAGGATGCAAAAATGCGCCTTATTTCCAACACGGCAATTTAGAGATACTTTATTATGACGAGAATCCGGACGACGTATGATATGTCTCTCATTATATACAACTTTAATTACGAGACGGTTGTGCCATTCCTGCTGCGCTTGTCGATTAAAGATTTCTCCGAGCATTCCTTGTTATCCCTTTCGCTTATTTGGTCTTTTTTGCTGCTGTTAACGTATGTGAAATGGTTTTAATTATGAGATGTTCGGGTAGTTTCAATCACTGCGTGAAAGAAGTTATCAAAGCAGCGGTGTTGACTGCACACAAGCATGGGAGAACAGGCGAAGATTTGGTTGGATTTGGAATTAACCTAAATCAAGGCTTGACAGGGATATTCTTAGGTTCTCTGTAAACAATTTTCAAGTTATTTTCGTGTTTGTGCAAAAAACAATGAATATTTAATAAAATAGAGGGACACCAAAAACTCCGATTTGCCAAAATAAAAAAAAAACTCCAAAGTTGCTGGAAGACCGGTAAACGAAGTTAGGAACGAGAATAAAAGACTATTAATTTTTCTGCGAAACATTTTTTTGGAGTAATTTTCGCGCCAAAATAACAATTTTGTGTCTTATCTTATGCTTTCTACAAATCGGGACTGAAACATGGATCTGAGACACATAGCCCGAAAATTTGTGCTTACGTTCAATTCGTGGGCTGTTGTGTGGAAGTATAGCCAGAGACCATTCTGGTGATTCAGACGCTGTGGGTCAGTCGTGGGATGGTCGGCGCTTTTCTTTCAAGTAGGCTTCTCGGTTCCTTTCCAGAGAAGTGCTTCATAGAGTGGGGTATTAGTTTGTCTGTGTGAGTGAGGGATGTGTTTTCTTGTTGGCGGATTCGCATCACTTTTCTTTTTGTTATTGTTTTCCAAAGTCTTGTTATTCGCAAGTTTAGTGAATTTGTCACTCTACTTTTGCAAACTCTTGCAGCTGCTGTGATTCAGTTCTGACGCGCGTAATATAATTATAAGTGAATTACAATTAGCTGCCAATTACTTTCAAATAGCACAATTTATTAACATTAACAGGTTTACTTCATCTTTCTTGACGTTTGAAGGTTACACTTGTATTGCTTTATACGTTACCTGAGATACTGCTTCTCCATCAGTGCCGTCTGCTTCCCATCACTGGATTCTAACTGCAATTCTCATAGAATGTCGTTTTTATTTTCCTTATTGGAAGATATGACGGACAACTGTTAGTTGAAGCCACAGCAAAAGATTTTTTTTCAGCCGCAGCCCATCTGGAAGTGGAAGTTCGTTAGCAGTATCTGTTTCTTCCTACGCTGTAGGTGGTGGTGTGCATCATTCGCACACACTTTCCACGCCCTTCTCTATCGGTTGGTAGGAAGTATCAATCAAACTCCCAACCCTGGGTGCAAGTAGTCGTGTGGATTCAAATACTACACCAGACATTGCAAGCTTTGGTGAGTAGCCTTTTCAATTTTTTTCTTGAAAATTTAAATCTTGGTGTTGTCTGTCGGAGTCGTTTTTTTTTCTTACAACATGGCTGCGTTCAAGGTGTGCAACGGTCGCCGAAACCATCGAGGCTTGTCCACGCTATTCCACACAAGTGGACTAAAACGACCAAATTCCGGTTGAATAGTGATTCTGGTTAGTTGTTTCGGATTTTTTTCAGGTTTATAGTGAGTGTTCCACTAGGGATCGTTAATGCACGAGATCAAACTTACTTTACTAATCAGAGCTCTGTATGATTTTAATTTCTGCACTTAAACGAGAGAAACTAGTGATAATTGGTCTACTAATCTGACTTGAGCGTCTCTCTGCTGAACGAACAGAGGAAAGATGTGTGAAACAATTGCTTTTACAACACTGCTTACAGTATGTCATTTCTGTCAACGACCACTCGGTTTTGGTTTTTTGCACGCCTGGGAAAAGTGCAGGTCATGCAAGTGAGTTTAATTTTTTTCTAATTTTTCCGGATTTTGATTTGCAAATAATCTATGCTTAGGTGGAAAGTGCATTTTACGCATTGCGAAGTTCGCATTTGGAGAATTCTTGTTGCTCTCACCTGAAACACCTTCGAATTCTTCTTTTCGATAAACTCGTTCAGCCAAAGAATAAACGGGCGTATTTCTTTTGTTTAGATTAACTTTGTTTTTCCAGAAGCAAGCAGAAATTGTAGCTATGCACTATTAACACATATACTTTAGTTCGCTGCGGACGGTTGGGCGTGTCGCAGCATGAGCCTGTTACGCAGTCAAAGCCGTTCCCTGCCTTCTTGTTGAAGCGCACATGCGACAGCCAGTCAGGGGTAGAGAACGAGTGAAGTGAACGATATGATAGTCTTACCACTTGCTCGCTTCAACAAGTGCTGGAGGATGGGCTTGGTACTGCGCCAAACTCACCCCGCCTGACAGTCCGCAGCGAACTACACTATACTTGGTGGGAACTTGCACAGTGCTTGTCCGCTCGTTCACAGTAACTTCATAGTTTTAACAGTCATCACCATGTTATTGTCTGAGGGACCTTTTTTTGGGTGACAGTACAACTTCTGTTAAGCAGCATTTTTGATGCTTCTCTACTTTTAGGACATTTGGAATGATCCCCAAAGTGCTGTGCCGATGTCTCGTTCATTAAATGAGCCGGCTTTCCAGTATCCGGATTCAGGAATGGGAATTGGTGATAGTTCATCATCGACTAATAGCTCTGCTCCTAGCACTCCAGCTCTTCACTCGGTGAGTGATTTAACACTTTGCCAGACCCTATACCTCACCATCACTCATGCGAAAACATGGGAAGAAGGGCTCCTATTGTATTGCTTTGGTATTCATACAGTTCCTGAAGTCGGGTGTGTACAGGATCAGGTTAAAGACAGTTCTCTCGATCAAGTGATCAGCGAAATACCTCCGTGCATTAAATATTTTAGGTCTGCACTTGTATAGCCGTGTTACCACATTCTCGCTCGAACAGGTGAGTATAACAGCGAGCACAGACCGTGACTCTTGCTCACTTTGTTCCTTTCAGTCCACAAGACAACGTCTTGCTTGTGAATTACATGTATGCATTTTGTTGTATGGAGCTCGTAGGACAATTTCATCTGCTTGTCGCAGAGAATCTCAGCTTGTTGACTCTTCCGCGAGCTTACGAGCTGCGCTATTGGCCTTGGATGTTAAGCCAGAGTGCGCAAAAGGGTTGCAAGATTTCTGTGGCCAAGCTTTCTATCGCCCTGTAGGATGAGGGTGAAAGCCGGACATTGCGCATCATTGAGTGAGCGAACTAGATTTTTAAAGACAGTTCTTGCGATAAAGTGTCATGGATAGTTGCTTTCAATTATAAAACAGTGGCTGATAAATAATTCCCTAAAGAAGAAAAGAAAAAGCAAGGAGAGTTCTTGATGACGGAAACTCTTTAACAGAATGCGTTAACGATTACTGGAGAAAATAGGTCAAATATGTGATGCTAAACAGAATCTGGCGATCTGAAATGTGTTAATTTTGTAGGGATAGGTTATGCAAATAGCCCATACGCTCTCGCAACAGCTACCATTCACCGAAGCGCGGGAGAGCGTAAGGTTCACATTCCCCGATGCTAGATCCCAGAAGTGCCGGATATTGTGTTGCTGACATCTAGTTGTCAATCCTCATGTTTCTTTTACGTGGTTTATGCTGGCCAAATGTTCTTTCTTTGTTGCTCATTCTCTATGTTCCAGTGACGGAGAAAATAGAGCGTCGGGTTGGCCAGGAACCAGCTCGGATTTCGGTGAAGGGCCATCATCGCTGAACACAAAACATGGCGAGGGCAGTGAAGGGACCGTGATCGTGGATTCTATTGGAAGCGCTGGTGTAAGTTTTTTTCCGTAGTGCTGTCCACTTGATTTTGTGTAAATCGTTACTTGTAATTAACTGTGTTAATCTTTTCATACGGGGAAACAGACCTTGCTGAGTTATTGAATTACGAATCAATACAAACAATTTGCTGATTGTAGACCGAATACGCTCTTAGGCGAGGGTCTACTGGTTGGGAAAAGCATCATGCGTGGAAGTCAAGGTGGACACACATGGGATCGAAACAGATGGAACATGAGCACAATACGAGGACCTAACGCACAGGTTTGCACCACACGCTTGTTTTTTCCTTGAAACTTTTTTTTGGTTGGGTTGTATCTCACTAAGGAAATAGTCCATTCCAAGTGACCATTTGCGATGAAACCTACGTCATCGGATGCTTTTTTCTAACACTGACCTCATAACTGCTTTCAAAGTATGCCGAGATTTTCTTTAACGGAGTTATGAAGACTCTGTCCATCATGTCGTCGCACACGTCGTCACTTTCAAACCTCCATTTTTTTTCATGACGGTTTTGCACCATTTTTCAAGAACTGTTGCACTTTTTTCACCTGCTGTTCTTTCTGTTATCCTTTACTCGATCTCTTCACCTGCTATAGTGTTTTGCTAGTGTGTGGTAAGGTGCATAATTGGCATAAGTGGATATAGTGCAAAGGAGATTGTTTATTGAGGGGTTTACTTCATGGTTACG